TCCCTGGACTTGTATGTCTGTTTCCTTCCCTGCTTTAAGTCATTATTTCTTCAAATAGGTTTTCAGTCCCTTGCTCTGTCTCTTCTCCTTCTGGTACCCATATGATGTCAATGTTGTTACACTTGCTGTTGTTACAAAGGTCACTTAAACAATCCTCTTTTTTTTTTTTAATGCTCTGATTAGATGTTTTCCACTACCTTGTCTTTCAGATTGCTAACTCAGTCCTGTGCTTCATCTAATCTGCTCTTGATTTCTTCCATTGTATTCTTCATTTCTGACTGGTTCTTTTTAATGGTTTCTGTGTCCATTTTTATGTTTACTATCTCCTTGAAGTTCTCACTGAGTTCATCTATTCTTCCACTAAGTTCATTGAGCATTCTTACAGCAAGTTTTTTGAACTCTGTATCTGTAGATTGCTTGCCTCCCTTTTGTTTAGTTCTTTTTCTAGAGTTTTGTTCTGTTCTGTCATTTGGGACATGTTTGTCTCCTCATTTTGAGTGCCTCGCTGTATTTGTTTCTATGTATTAGGTAGATCTGCTATGTCTCCCAGTCTCAGCAAGGTGGCCTTATGTAGTAGGTCCTGTGGGGCCCAATGGCACAGTCTCCCTGGTCACTTGAACTGGGTGCTCCAGGGGTGCCCTTTGTGTGAGTTGTGTGTGCCCTCCCATTGTAGTAGAGCCTTGATTGCTGTTGGCATATCTGTGGGTAGTGTTGACCCTCATGCTGACTGGCTGTGAGGACTTGCCACAACCACAGTGGACAAGCTGCTGTTCAGGGGCTGACCCCACAGAGCGTAATTTGCCCCAGTTGGGCTCAGGTGTCTGCTGAAACAACCCTTTGTGTGTGCCTTTTATGGAGCTGATTGGGTAGTGTTCTGTTGTGTTCTGAAGCTAGCCACTGGGTGTATTGGTTCTGCAGCCTCTTGGGAGGGGCTCTGGTGCAGCCACTGCCTTGCCCTGCCCGGAGCCACCTGGTACGGGCTACAGAGTGATTCATGGTTGGTAGCTGCCTGTGCTACTCCTGGAGGCATGTGGGAAAGGCCACGCAGTGAACTGAGGCTGGCTGCCAGCAGTGCTGGGCCTGGGACCTCTCAGTAAGAGGCACAGGGCATGCCTAGGTCAACCATGGATTGCCTGGGTCCTGCAGACCTTTTAAAGTTTTTAGGAAAGTCTGTAGCACTGGCTGAGGCCAGCTACCTGTGAGGAACAGCTGCTGAAAGAGGCTCAGGAGGTGTGCGAGTTGGGTGGTGTAGGGTCACGGGGAGTCACCAAGGTGGGGTGAATGATGTTCATGAGGTTAATACAGATTCAGATTTAACACTGGTGCTGGGCTTGGGGCCAATCAGCAAGAGGCCCAGGGAACCCCAAGGATAGCCATTGCCTGTGTGGGGCCTGTGGGACCTTTTGTGAATTTTAAAGAAATTCTGCAGTTTGGGTTGAGGCCAACTGCCTGTGATGAACAGCTGCTGAAAAAGGCTTGAGTGGGGCTCGAGTTGGGTGAGGCAGGGTCACAGGGAGTCACCAGGGTAGGAGGAAGTGTTTACTAGGTTGAAGCAGATTCATATTTGGCACCCACCTGCACCTGCTGGCTGTGTGGGAGGAGGGCTCAACACATGAGCAATGGCGGTTGCCCTTCAGCATTTGCCCTGAAGCCACGCAATTTGTTTTTACCGTGGCTGCCCCTCCAGCCCTCGCTATGAAGCCACACAATTCAGTTTCTCCCCATATGTCCCTGGTACCTTTCAAGCTGCTGTTACTTCACTGGAACTTAGGGCAAGTGTTTGCGAGTGAGTAAGTCTGTGCTCGGGCCCTGCAGAGGACACCTGGGCTTCCAGCAGCCCTCTGTCTCACCTGGACAGAGTGAAAATCCCCACTGATTTTCACAGCCAGACGTTGTGGGGACTTCTCTTCCTAGCACTGGTGCTCTGGGATGGGGAGCTTCGTGTGGGGCTGGGACCCCTCGCTTCTCAGGCGGGACCTCTGCACTGAGATGTTCCTCCTGATTCTCAACCGCCACATGTGGGTGTGGGACCAGACTGTTTTTTGTCTGTGCCCCTCCTATCAGACTAAGTGTCATCTTCTTTATATCCTTAGTTATAGGAATTCATTTAGCTAGACTTCAGATCGTTCTCCAGGGTGATTGTGTCTATAATTTAGTTGTAATTTTTGATGTGATCATGGGAGGAGGCAAGCACAGCATTTATCTACTCCACCATCTTGACTGGAAGTCATTTTGTGATGGACATAGGCTAATAATCACATGACATTCTCAACTGCAAGTGGTCTGAGAAGTGCAGTCTCCCATGTGCACATGTTGTCAAATGGCAGCTTAAAAGCTGGTGGAGGGCCGGCCGAGTGGTGTGATGGTTAAGAACTGGCTTGGGACGCCAGAGGGCCCCGGTTCGGATCCCACATATGAGGGCCAGTGACACTGCCCTCCACAGCTAAGATGCTGAACAACAGCTCAACCTGGAGCTGAGCTGTGCTGAGTCGCCGGCGACGGCGTAGGCTGCAGCCCCTGTGGCAGTGGGTTGCCATGGGCTACCGTATGTAGCCAGCAGCCAGCGTGAGCGGCCAGCAGCCGCAGTGAGTGGTCGTCCAGAAGCCGGCAACTGATCTGTCTCGCCCGGGAAGAGCACAATGATGGTGCCAACTTGGGCCAGTGAAGCAACGTCCTCCACAACTAGACTGAAGAACAAAATGACAGCAACTTGTCTGTTCCCCTTACCCCAATTCCCCAGCTCTGTTCCCATCCCCCCAATATCCCAATAAAAGAAAAAAATCTTAAAAAAAAAAAAAAAGCTGGTGGAATCAGGCCCTAGAAGCTGCTGCCATAACCCCTCTTCCCAGAGGGAAACCAGATATCCTTCAGAAAGTTCTTAATATCTTTTTGCCTCTGTTTCCTTGTCTGTAAAGTGAGAATTAAATAGTAAATGTAAAATATTTAGAACGATGCTTGGTATATAGTGCTCAAGAAATGTTGTTATAGTTGCTGTTATTGTGATTATTTCTAAAAATGATGCCCAAGCTCAATCATCATAAGAGAAATTCAAGGTTAAACAAAACTGAGACACCATGATAATACACTGTAGTAAGGTTGTGGTTAAAGAGGTGTTGCCATACATCGATGGTTATTTTTTATATTGGCACTGCTTCAGTAGAGGACAATTTGAAATAGCTATTTAAGGTAAAATATTTATTGGATTTTGACCTGGCAGTTCCATTTTTAGGAGTTTATCTTAAAATTTATGTTCACAAAAAGCCACATATATATAATAATATATGCAAACAATAGTTGCAGTATTGTTCGTATTAGCAAAAGACTAGAAGTGACTTAAATGACTCTCAGTGGAAACAGGTAAATGGTTAAATCAATGTAATGGAATGCTCTATAGTAGCATTGAAAAGCATTGAAATAGGTCTGCCTGTTCTAATATAGAATAATTTCTAAGATGTGCTGTTCAGTTGGGGGGAAAAGCTTCCACACACACATACATATCATGCTTATGTCACACACATACATATCACGCTTATGTAAGTATATACTATCTGAAAGGAATTAAAACAACTACTAACAGTGGTTGCCTTTGTGGAGAGGGTCTGGGAGAGAGGGTAGGGCGACTTACTTTCCTATACACTTTTGTACCATTTGAAACAAATATTTTTAAATATGTTTATGTATTAATTTTTACCCTCCCCCAAATCCTTTGTTCCCACCAGTACACATGCATATGCAAGTGTGTGTGCACGCACATAACCATGCATGCACAATTTTCAGAACATTCAAATGGTATTCCAGGAGTCTGGCTGTGCAGTGCCAGGGAATAATAGCCTGTCCTGATGGTGTTTAAAGCTTATTGATTATGTGTGTGATACTTGGGGCATAACAGGCACCTGATCCTCATCATCCGAATTGGTGCTGATGGGAAAAGTCTCCCTGGATTGTGGAAACAGGCCTTTGCTAAGTATGCTCAAGCTCTGAGGATTGCTTTATAGGTGCTGTGGTGGGTGTTGGAGCCAGACCTTGGTCTTGAGCTTGCCTTTCTTTGCCATTTTTAGAGGTCTGAAAAGAGGGCGACTAGGAAAGAACTTCAAAAGTTCTGTACCTCATTAGGAAGCGCTGGTTGTATTTAGCAACTGTTTGGTTCTATTTCAGTTTCCAGAAGTGAGAGCCAGAATGAAAATTCACTTGGCACAATAGGGTTTTATATTGTGCAGCCCCCTGGAATTTCTAGAAATACTTTTCAACCCTGGAAGAATTGGAGTCATGACCAGGTTCTTCATGTAAAACTCCTTAAACAGATGAAGTTTAGAGTTGTGTGGAAATTTATACATCTCCCTACTTTTTATTGGGCACTGTTTAAGCCAGTTGCTACTTGGATGAAGGCTATAGTCATCAACTCTAATGGCAAGATTAGGGTGAATTGTCTTACCCTTGTTCATATAATGTTTCACTATATGAAATAAAATATCTGTATGTATGTAGAAAATGTGGTCATATAAATGAGGACCAGAATATAATATTTTCTTTTGTGGTTTCATCCAGTAAATCTTAGGCTAGTGCTTCTTAATATTTTTTACCACTCTAGACTGAGGGGTGTCCCATTCCCATTGTTAAACAGTGGCTTGGTTGTGGCAGTGACTTTCTACAGGGGTTGGAGGTCTTTCAGTGCAACCTGGCGATGGTAGTGGGAGAGTGTCAAAGTAGAAATAAGGATTCTGATTTGTGTAACTCTGTCTCTCTCTCTCCCTCTCCCTCCTTCACTCTGTTCCTCCCTCCCTCCTTCCTTCCTAGTTGAGAATTAAGACAAACTAGTATTACAACCTTTAATTTTATCTCAATACTCAGGGGGAAAATACCTGATGAGGTACTTTGATTTCATCTAGTTCGTGTGTCTTCCCTCCATATCTGCTGTCTGCTTGCACATAAGCATGCACGTAATAGATAAGCACTGACTTGTAAGTGCGCAAGTCAAGCAACTTGTTTTCCTTCCATTGCAGGAAAAGGCCAAGGTCTGAAGGTGGAGGAAAGATTAGACACGTTCCTGGGGAAAGTGAGCAATCTGTCTAACCAAAGGTGGGTCATTTATTCTGGAATTAGCTTTTGTTTTCTGTTATTAACAGTGCCTTTTTGTTTTGCATTAGTTTAGTGGTTATTTAAATTTTTTTTTGGAATCCTTTTTGTTTGTTACAGCAGAGATGTCAGCTTATTTATAGGAATTGCTTGAAGCCAGAGTCATGGTGGATGTAGGAAAGTGGCCAATCTTCACTTTGCTCTCACCTCAGGAAATTGCATCTATTCGGAAAGCATGTGTCTTTGGCACCTCAGCCAATGAAGCATTGTACGTTACTGACAATGATGAGGTAAGAATCTCTCAAAATCCAGAGTTTAATTTTAAGGATTATTTTGGGATTGAGCTTTGAAGTGTGCAGTTTGAAGACTGAGGTAAGGTGGGGGATAAAAGAACCTGAAATTAAAGAAGACTGTGTCTTTCATATAATTTGTCTTTTCTTTCAGTTTCTTGATTTAATACCACTCCCCACCTTGCTACTCTTTGGGCTTGATAGTATAACCAAATAGTCTAAAACTTAATGTCACCGGAGGTTGAATTTTTCTTAACCGTTTTAGTCTCTTCCTACCCACTGAGCTGTCAAACTGAACCTGAGTGTGTTTTATTTTCAGAGCAAATAAGGGAGCCTTTGTGTAATGTTAGGCCAAACGACTCAGACAGAACTGTTTGTTTTCCAGGTCTTTGTAATTGGACTGAACTATAGTAACTGTCTAGGAACTGGAGATAACCAGAGTACACTTGTACCCAAAAAGCTAGAAGCCTTATGTGGAAAGAAGATTAAAAGCCTTAGTTATGGGAGTGGACCACATGTTCTCCTTAGCACTGAAGGTAAAGAGGGAACAAGTCCAGCTTTTCAGTTTGGGGGATATCGAACAGTTAATTCTAAGCTAAGGGGAGGTGGGGTTGGGTCAAATAATTAACTTCTAATGTTTGTCTCTTTATTTCTGAGAGGTAAAAGTTAAACATGCCAGGCTAACTCTGGAAGAGCCATAGGATGACTTACAAATTAAGCAAACGTCTGAGGTTTTAGGCTGCTTACTTAATGTTGTGGAAAATTAGATATAGCAACCGAAATGGTCCTTCCCCCTAAATTTTCAGTGAATTTGTGGTAACAAGGCAACTTTCAGGTTTACTTGCTACAGTTTTATGAACACAGGTGAAACTAGTTTTCCATTCTTTGTGTAGTTCCTGAACCTTGAATTCAAGAAATCTTGGTTTATTCCCTGGCATTCCTGAGGGTGCCTTACGGACAGATTCCTCTCCTCTTTCTCTCGGCCTCCACAAGATCACTAAAGGAAACTATGCATTTGCCTCTGGCCATTTGTCTCCACTGTGCTTAGCCAGAACCCCCTGAAAATCTGCTATTTATAACCTGAGTTCTTCCCTTTTTATTTTAGGTACATTAACCTATGCTTCGCTCTCTCAGGTCCTCAGCTTTTTGTTGGGTGGTTTTGTAGAGTGGCATTTGGGAGACAGTTTGCTCCCTGGCCTTTCTGTCTCCAGACTAGGAGCTTCCTTTGATGTTGCCATAACTCTTAGTATTGAGCTTTTTGATTGTTTCTGTCTCATATCTGAATCCATTCTAAGTTGTCTGCATCTTTCTGAAGCTGTGAGATCCAGATCTGAGCGTGATTGTCTAGTAAGAGTGTAACTGGTGTTGAGCATAATGAGGTGATTATCTCACTTCCGCGTTATGTAATCATGCCTCCTGGCTTCACACTGGCTCTTTCAAGCCGTTACAGCTTTGCTGACTGGTTCAGCTTGTCATCCATTGTGACCTAATGATTTAATGTTTTCCTAACACGTATCAATTTTAACTAGTCTTTGATTTCTCACTGAAAATTACTGAGGCAGTTTTTTAGAAAAAACATATACATTCAACTTTTTGGTTTTCTTCAAAGTGGTGACCTTAGGAAATTATAACTCTTCTTTTGGAATTATTTTTGGCACCCAAATCATACAGTTTTAACTATCTTGAGTGTTATAATTAAGATATAAATAAACATAAAACAAAAATATAGATATAAATAACTAATTTTCTTGTGGGAATATTTTCCTTTTTGTTTTTAATTCAATTTTGATCATTATAACACATTTTACACAATATACATTAAACATGTGTATTATGTATCATACATGTAAATACATATATTCATGTGTATTGTTTATGTTTTACAATCATATAGTTTTAAAACAATTTAACACTTTAAACCATCAAATGGTTTATGGCCTTTAGTAAAAACCCTTCATCTTCCCCCTCCTCACTCTTAGAAACTGTCCTTCAGAAAGAACTACTTTTAATTTTTTCAGGTGTTTCTTCTGATGTTTAATCTCATATTTTTAAATTAACATGCTTATCCTGCTATTTTTAAATTTTCAAATTTAGATATTATTCTTTGATTTTTTTTTTATAATGGCAGATAGAATTTAGCTCTCTCTCTTCCCTTCCCTCCCCTTTATCCTTTCAATATAGTGATTCACCATTTTGGTGAAATCAATATTCAACATTTACATTATTAGGACTCTGTCAGTATTATTTAGAGCTGAGCCACCTCCTTTCTTGTACAACTGTTTATTTTCCTGGGGTGTATTTACTTACTTTTCTATACATGTATCATTAACACGTGCCCAGACTCTTCCACAGGGCGGTGCTGCTTCTCTGTCCATCTGAGTATATCAGGCCATCTCTTGGAGCCCTCTGCCCTGTGTCAGCTTGGACTGGTCACTCTAAGCCTACTGCACAGCTGCCAGCCTAGAACTTCATTTCACCACCATCCCTGGAAGTCTTCTCATCTTTATCCTCTCTGGATACCCTCTTCTTTGGGTCCTATAATCCTTCTTGGATTTTACCATCATTTGGATGAAACACATTCTCTAGTAGCTTTCCAAGGGAGGATGTGTGAGAGAAATCTTTGAGGCCTTGTCTTAAAATGTCTTTATTTTACCCTTGCAATTGATCAATGGTTTGTTGGGGCTTAAAATTCCTAATTGGAAATCATGTTTCCTCAGAATTTTGAAGTCATTGTACCTTTCAGATTTCAAGGGTTGCTGATGACATTCTGACTTTTGCTATTTTGCATATGACTTTCTTCCTCTTTGGAAGCTTTAGGATCTTTTCTTTATTCCTAGTGTTCTGAAATAACCATGGTTATATATTCTGGTGTGGGTAATTTTTAATTTATTGTATTGATCATCTACTGGCCCTTGAATCTAGAAATTTCTTCATTTCTGGAAAGTTTTCTTATGATATTTCATGGACAATTTCCCTTGTTTTCTTGATTCTCTCATTTCTGGAATTTTTCTTGGAAGTTAGAGATTCTGGATCTGCTTTTTGGGAAATTTCTTCAACTTATCTTACAACCCTTATGTGAAATTTTAACATTTCTGCTGTTACATTTCTAAATTCTCTTTCTTGTTCTCTAAACGTTCTTTTCTAGAGCCTCCTGTTCATTTCATGGATTCAGTATCTTCTCTTTGAGGCTGTTATAATATCTGGATTATATGTTGCTTTCTGTCAATATGACTGGCTGCTTTTTACAAGATGGGATAGATCCATTTGGAGCCATCTTGCTACCAAATAGCTAGTTGGTCTCCTTGATGGGAAGAGCTGTATCAGGGGCTCTGCACTGGTTCTGTTACTGGTGTAGCGGCCATTCAGTAGTGGCAGTAGCTAGATCAGCCTTGGTTAGTAGGTCTAACTTTTGTATACGAGTATATAAGCTGACTTCTAACTACAAAGCTGATGTTCTTTCTATGTTAGTACCAAGTCCTTTCTTTAACAATTTTGCACCTATCTATCCTATTTTCTTACCCATGCCTCTTTCCCGCACCCCTCATCAGTGGTTAGTTTACAGGGAGGAAGGACAATGTGAAAGAAATTAAGGTTGGAGAATGAGTTGTGCAAAGTCTGGGGAAGAAAGTACACGGGTTACCGTTTGTTCTTGGAGCTGACTCTTTGTGTGTGACCACCTGGTATAGATGGAGTTGTTTACGCCTGGGGTCACAATGGATATAGCCAGCTTGGGAATGGGACAACCAACCAAAACATTGCTCCCATCCAAGTTTGTACCAATCTCTTGATCAAGCAAGTGGTTGAAGTAGCTTGCGGCTCACATCATTCAATGGCTCTGGCAGCTGATGGAGAGGTAAGTGCCTTTCTTTCATTATTTTTAAGTTGTGGGAAAATACATATGAAATTTACCATCTTAACCATTTTTACGTGTACAGTTCAGTGACATTAAGTGCATCCACAGTTTTGTTATCACCTCCACAATTTATCCACAGAACTCTTTTCATCTTGCAAACTTGAATGAAAACTCTGTACCCATTAAACATTAACTGTCCTCTTCCACCTTCCCCAGTCCCTGGCAACCACCATTCTACTTTCTGTATCTGTGAATTTGACGACTCCAGGTACCTCATAAGAGTTGAATCATACAATATTTGTCCTTTTTTAACTGCTTTATTTCACTTAGCGTAATATCTTCAAGTTTATCCATGTGGTAGCATGTGTCGGAATTTCCTTTTTTAAGGCTGGATAATATTCTATTGTATGTGTATGCCACATTTATTCATTTATATGTTGATGGATATTTGGGTTGTTTCTGCCTTTTGACTATTGTGAATGTGCCTTGCTTTAAGAAAACATAATGACCATATTGTGCTTGGTATGGTGTGAACATAGTATTTCTGTGTGCATAGCTGAAAACACTGTGGGCATACACTTTTTCTAACACAACCTGTATTTTGTGATCAGGACCACTCTTTTGATGAAAGTAAACTTTAGTCTTAAGGCAGTTGAGCCTTGTGCTATTTTCTAAGACTACAAATTTGATGTCTATGACAGTGTTCTGTACTTTTTTTTTTAATGACCCCATCCTTTAAGGTGTCTTTTGTTTGTCAGTAAATGTAATGATGTCATAGAAAATAACTTTAGAATGTTGATTCCAGTAGGTACTGTACTACTTCTTGTTAGGTCTCTGAATGTTAGAGACCTTGACTTAATGTTAGGTCTCTGAATGTTAGGTCTCAGAGACCTTGACTTACAGACAGAGCCATGCCTGCAAGAAAACAACAAAATGTCTGTTGGCCTGCATCTGCAGACAGAACCCAGCTTGCGATAACAGAAAATGCCCCAAACCAGCTACTGGCTTGCAGGCAGTCAACACTGTTCAAACAATGCTACCCTGTCATCACCACCCCTATATAACCCTCCTCACCCCCTCCCTCAGGGCTGCATGTCTCCTTTAGACGTGCAGCTTGGGCTGTAGCCATCTTTGCTCAGCCCGATAGACTCTCTGTTAATAAAATAGACTGTCTTAATAAATAAAATAGACTGTCTTAAACTTTCTTAACTTGCTTGACTGCGCGCGTTCCTTTACCGGCCGACCTATCACTTGTTCACCCCACAAGTTCCGTGCTAATCTTAAAGGTTGCTCAGCCTATTGATTTCTACCTTCTAATCTCTTATATCATTTGGTGCTCTTCAGTAAGGCCTTGTCATCTGCCCGGACTATTGCCATGATCTTTTATTCCATAGCTTTTAGATTGGTCAACCTGTCAATATTACTTCTCTACCTCCTGTGATTTCTAAAACACAAATCGGATCATATTGTTTCCTGTTAAAATCCTTCAGTGGTGTTAACAGTGATTTTTCTAAGTAAGATGGTTTATAGATGAGGAAACCGAAGAAGCTCAGGGAGATCAAGGTTTCATGGCTGGGATGTGCTGGAGCCAGGGCTAGCATCCTGGCTCTGGGCCCCAGAATCTACTGCTTCCGAGCCTGTTGCTTTGTTAGTAGAACTACAGTCTCCATCTTTTAAATAAAAGGCAGCTACATTGACAGGGAACTGGGGATATTTCAGAAGTGCCAGAAGAATGATTGTCGAAACTAGAATTTGCTAATTTATACAGTCCAGATTCCTGGTATTTTTTACTTTAAGCCTATGTTACTTTGGGTAATTGTGCTAAATATTTGCATTATTATACTAGCTATTCCTGTGAACCCACTTTCAGGAAGTGTTGCAGGTTATTTATTTTGTACCTGTGAAAGGAACCTGTAGCACATATTCTTTTAAAACATCAGTAGTGGGTTTTACTGTGGTTGCCTTGGGTAGTGTCAGACATGTAACTTAGAAGGTGCTGACAGAGGAAAGAAAGAATTATGGAAGCCAGAACTCAGGATGTGTGAGAACCACTTCCTGCTGGCAAGTGAAGCGGGGTGAGAGGGATCCTTAAACATTCTCCTTGTGTTGAAGTTATTTCCTCTACTGCCAACATTCCCCTTGCCCTAATTTTTCTCTTTGGTCATACTCCTGTTTGATAGAGTCAGTTGCTAATTAACTGGAAGTGATTTTTTGCTTGTTTTCATCTTTTTTACTAGCTTTGAACTAGCTTATAGATCTATTTGCGTGTCTCTCTTAGAAATGTGGTTTTCAGTTTGTGGCAGATCACAGGCCAAAAGCAATAAGCAGGATGCAGTTGAGGGGAGCTGCTTGGAGCTGACAGATAGCAAATGAGAACTCAGAGAAAATATTACCAAGAATAGCCTGACAGCCTGGTGTCATTTCTGTAGGGACAAATATCTCCTTAGTACTAGTGAGCATTACTGTGTTATGACATGGAACTGTGATTGATAATTACAATCATGATGGTCCTGAGTCATCAGGAAAGGTTATGTAATGTCCAGTATTGGTGATTAACAAGAGAGGGAAAAGCATAGTGTGGTTTCAAAAGGTTCCCATAAAAAAAAAAAAAGATTATTTGTGGCCAAAGAGTTAAGCAGATTTTTCATATCACTGATACTTATGTGGCATATACTATTTTCTATTGATGACAGATTAAGAACATAGAACTGCCATCATATAGAGCCAGTACAGCATAGTGGTTAAAAGCACTGCTTGGGTTCAGATTCTGCTTCTACACCTACTAACTGTGGAATCTCAAACAATTCACTTACCCTCTCCGTTTCCATCTCCATATATAACCTGAGGATAATAGTATCTATCCCAGGGTCACCTTATAGGATTCCTATGAGAATTAAATAGGTTAGTGCATATAAAGCACATAGGGCCATTTAGCACATGTACGTACTCTGTTAAGTGGGTTTATTTTTATTTTATGATGATGATTGTAGTTAGAGGTATAACTTTCACCCTCACCATTGTTTCTCTTCACCTTCTGTGTAGGTGTTTGCGTGGGGCTATAACAACTGTGGCCAGGTGGGTTCAGGGTCAACAGCAAATCAGCCAACTCCTCGCAAAGTTACAAACTGTTTACATATTAAGAGGGTGGTAGGCATCGCCTGTGGTCAGACCTCGTCCATGGCTGTTCTAGACAACGGTGAGGTGAGCTATCTTTGCATTCCCTTTTCTCTCCCCACCTCTTCTTTCAATGAAATGTCAGTTTTTTCATGAAATGAGTGTATTAGATCATGGAAGGAAGAGGGCTTTGTTTTGACAGCTCTATTGATAGAAGATGTTTGCTTCTCAGTATGAATTTTCAAATTCCAAGGTTTATCTGCAAGATTCTAATGTGTCTAAATTTAATTTTTTTGCAAGATCCATGTAGCTTAATGCTTACAGGTATTTGTTTGCAATTTAATGTAATTGATAAAAGAATTTGATACACCCTATTCTTCCAATGAAAAAATCAACTGTGTACTCTTTAAAGTTAGCTGATGATGTTTATAAGCCATCAGCGACCCCAATGCACATGAAGCCGGTAGAACTAATTACCTGCCTACATCTGAAATGTTTGTCCACAGGAGGAAGCACCTTGCAAAAGCAGAATGGTTTGTTCTGATTGCTGTTTAGCTACTTTTAAAAACCCGCCTTTCAGTGACCCTCTATCATCATCACCTTTGAGAAGATGGTTATTTTTATTAAATTATTCTAGTTGCAACTTCTATTTAAATGGGCCTGTTACCACCTATGCATGTCTTAGTACATAAAAATTATCCAAAGATACATCTCTGGACACAGACGTATGAAATCATGCCTTGGGGTGTGAGAGTGCTTTAGAGTTTACTGAGTGCTCACCTCTCTTAGGTTATTTTTTGAATCAATTCTGGTATCCTGGGTGACTTCAGAATTCCTTGGGATAGTCATATAACATTCTCCATTCCCGTATTAGTCACTTCCCATTTATTTATAAAAATAAATTTAATTTAAAAAGCATTATTATGTGGTCATTTTAACAAAGGAAAACAAATGAAACAAAGTAAAAAGTGAATTCCTTTTTCCCAATGTTGTTAATAGTTTGATTTATATCCTTGGGGACTTTTCTCTATAAAAGTTATATAATTACCTTTTTTAAAAAATTGGATTATTATACCTGTTCTTTTCTCTACGGTTCTGTAACTTCCTTGCTTAACAACGTGTGTTTTACCTGAATCTGTACTCAGACCATTTGTAGCTACTTTTCATATACTAATGGCTGCGTAGGTTTTCTTGTGTGGATGACCCACATGCCCAGAGCTCTACTGATGGACATTTCAATTGTTTCTGACTGTTTGCTGTTATAAACAATGTTGCACTGATTTTCAGTACTACTCTTTGTGTTTGTGTGTATCTTTGTACACTTAGGCAAATATTTCTGTTGACTAAGTTCCCAGAAATAGGATTTCTGGGTCAGGGAGTATGCTATTAAAATTTTTGATGTCTAGTGCCAAAGTTCAAACCTGTTACACTTCTGAAATTGAAACTGCTTTTAACCATTTCTTGCTAATACCTGAAAGTCCCTGTCCCCTTTTCCCCTCTGTCACATTGTCCTGAAAAGCCCCAGCCGATACTTGTTTGCTCTACATTGCCATGGGGCGCAGTGCCACCACACATCTTGGGTTTCTGATTTGAGCTAGACCTTTTTCTGTTCCTGGTCAGTCCTTTTTCCTGTGTCCCACATGGGCTGTTCTAAGCCTGTAACTCTTCTGTCAAACCTATGCCCAGCCCTGCTGCTTTCAGCTCATCTGTCTCTCACCCCAGATATCTAAAGAGTCACCACATTCTGTCATGTCTCTCCCTTTCTCTTCCCTTTCTCCTGGCCCCACTGTCACGGTCTTGGTTTGGACACTCATCAGAGCTCACCTATTTGCAGAGAGAGATGAATTTATCTACTGAATGGTCTTCCTGTCTCAAGTCTTACACCAGTCACCTTCATGTTGTGGCCAGTGTGGTCTTTCCAAAATGAAAATTTAAGCACATTAATCTCTGTTTTGAAATATTTCAGTGAAAGACCCATAGAAGTATTCCACTTTTCCTGGTATTTTATCCCCTTGGTCCTTAGGTTTCCTTCTAGTCTTTTCTCTTACCACTACCTCAGATGTGTCCAGCCAAGCCCACCTACTTGTCTTCTGAACTTGCCTCCAACACATTCTGTGCCCTGCACCTGGAATGCCTTCACCCACATCTGTTCTTCAGCCCTGCTCACGTCTCCACTTTCTGAAAAGTCTTTCCTCAACTCCCTTCCTATAGACAGATCCTCTCTCCTCCCTGCTACTGTAGTGCCTTGATTATCTCTCTATTATAGCACCTGACACTTGGGTGCAGAAAATTTGCATATGTTCACCTCCCCTGTTAAACTGTGACCAAAGACGTATTCCTAGTACCTTTCACAATGTCCTGACATACAGTAGCTGCCTAATTGTTAATGAGCATAAGCTTTCTCACGTATAAAGCAAGAACTAGTGACTTGCCCAAGGCGACCCAACCAGTAAGTTATGGAGTAGGAACTGATGCCACATTCTGTCATTCCCCACCCCTAAAACATCCTCTATGTGGAGATCCGTGTAGGATCATAGAGTAGAATGTGGGTGTTGGAAGTGAAGAAAGTGTACCTGATTTTACAGTCGGTTCCCTCTTACTAGCAGTTTTAAAAGCCCGTTCTCTCCCTTTCTCTCTAAGGTGTATGGCTGGGGTTACAATGGCAATGGCCAGCTGGGCTTGGGAAACAATGGCAACCAGCTGACCCCTGTGAGAGTGGCAGCCTTGCACAGCGTGTGTGTGAACCAGGTACGTGTGGTGACTCAGCGACTGGTCCCATCTCTCTTCCCAGCTCTGTCTTGGAGGAATAGTGGAGATTTACTCTTCAAGAAATCTTTTTGAACCATGCCCTATGCCTTCATCTTCCACATTTAAGATTATATCCTCCCTAAGTTCTGATGAGGTGAAGGAACACTATGGTGGTGGCACATCAGTCTTGACAAGTAAAAAAAGTGGTTGGAAAGATTTAGTAGTCTCAGGTTTAGGTGTTTCTAATGCTTTTTTAATGTTCCAGAGAATGTTAGTCCACACCTGATGATGAATTGGCATTCTGCAGAAGCTGGATGTAATCTTTAAGTAGATGTTTTCCCTGTCCTTCCTGGTTTCCTGTTTATGGTAACCATTTAAATTTATTTGCAGATTGTCTGCGGTTATGCACACACTCTAGCACTAACAGATGAGGGCTTGCTCTATGCCTGGGGAGCTAACACGTATGGGCAGCTGGGAACTGGCAATAAAAATAATCTGCTAAGCCCAGCACACATCATGGTGGAGAAAGAAAGGTAACGTGGCTGTACAATGTCTTAGGATTGTGTGTGCACTGTGGACGTGGGACTGTGTGCACTGGCGCTGTGGTGTTTGGCTTTGTCACTCTTCTGTTTATTATCATTCTCATTTTGAACAAAAGAATTTGAGTACCAGGCAGAATGAACATGAACTTGATGTGACTCCTATGCAGCTTTCTAAAATGACCTCCTGTGCTTAATAGGCATTAATGTATCTTGGTATAATTCCTACAGACTTCTTGTTGCCCATTTAGTTGGAAAGTAGAACAGGGTCTATTACCATGATGAAATACAAACTTTTCCTTTGAGCCAACTAAAACAACTTTTAAATAAATAAAATCTGCCCTTGAAAGAACACGATCTGTTTAAATATTGATTTAATTTATTGCGTGTTACTAGAATAGATGCTTACTGTTTCCTCAGCGAAATTGTGAGGTCTTATTACTAAGTTTTAGAATGTTGATTTCTGATTCCGGGACCCACCTAAGAAGCAGACTCAGAAATGTAGTAGGTTTGACTTAATGTCCATTTGGCTTGGGACATTGAGTCCCTGACCCCTAGACCAGTGTTTATCGGCCTCATGAGTGTTCTGAGCTCTGGTAGGGGATGAGAGAAAAAGTTGTATTTGTAAGGAAATGGTGTATTGAAACAGTATGTTTTGGCTGCTGTCTAAGCCCCTAGAACTGTCAGGACATTTTGTCAGAGTCCACTTTCCTCATTTACTTTGGTTTTTAGTCCCTTTTTCCAAATTTTCCTTAACAGTATGTATTATTTATCCTAACTCAGAATGGGGTTAGGATGAGAAGTGGGGCTACCAGGAGAGGAGAAACAGCACTCTTGCCCTGATCTTTTGGTTTTGTCTATATGACTTACTAGCCAATGTCCCTTGATCTTGAACTCGTTTTTGAGGTTTTCCAAGCATGAACTTTTAATTCACCTTCTGTGAGACAGAAGTGGCATGCATTTTTTTTTTTTAATTTTTCAGGGTAGTAGAGATTGCAGCCTGCCACTCTGCCCACACTTCTGCCGCCAAGACCCAGGGGGGCCACGTGTACATGTGGGGCCAGTGCCGGGGCCAGTCGGTGGTCCTGCCTCACCTCACCCACTTCTCCTGCACGGACGACGTGTTTGCCTGCTTTGCCACTCCCGCCGTCTCGTGGCGCCTCCTGTCTGTAGGTGAGAAACCTCTGGGCTACTCCCACCCAGGAAGAATGGTCCACTCAGCTGAGCCGTTTTCCTGCATATATGCTAGTTGTGGGCTCTTTCAGGTTCCAAAATATTTCATTCTCCATTAACTTTAGTATCTTTCCCCAATTAGATTTGCAAAATAAAATTTATTAATACATATGAAACATTACATGGATTTATTCTTTTCTCCATTTAAAAGCTTTCATTTTAATTGAGGTGAAATTCGCATACATGAAATTGACCATTTTAAAGTGTACAATTCAAAGGCGAGTACTAGACTAGTCAGGGGGATCACTTCTTAAAGTATATAAATGTCTAATCACTATGCTGTACACCTGAAATTAATATAATATTGAATGTCAGTTATAAGTGAAAGATAAAAAACTGGAGGAAAAGGTGGGGAATAAATAAGAGGTCCAAATTTCCAAGTATAAAATAAATAAGTCATGGGGATGTAATGTATAGCATTGGGAATATAGTCAATAATATTGTGATAATGTGGTACGGTGTCAGATGGTTGCTGGGCTTATGGTGATCACTTCTTTATGTATATAAATGTTGAATAACTATGGTTACATCTGAAACGAATATACTATTGTGTGTTAGCTATATTTTAATAAAAATCTTTGTTTAAAAAGTGTAGAACTTGTAGTTTTTAAGGTGATATGTTAACTCCACTTTCTTTCTTTTTCTTTCAACCAATCTCAAATACTTTTATTTTAGAAGGGCATCCAAGCAGAGGCATTCAGGGTGATCTTTGATTTTATAATCTGCTCTTTTCTGAACATTGTCTTCTTCAAGAGTTCATTACTGATCGAAAGTATTAAGATGTCATAAAGCTGAGTAGCCATTAACCGAGATTTTAATGTCTTTCTCTTTTAATTCTTGTTTATTTCTGCCTTTTGTCAATGTATTTCTGCTAAGTTATTCTTTTGTTTATATGAAAACGGAGTAAATGGGTCATGATGCTCCGTGTTTGAACACTAATGTATCTCTTGACAACCAAGGGGTTTGGCTTGCTCAGCAGTTGATATTGAAGGCTAGTCTTGTAGTACATGTGATGCTGAGGTGTGTCAGGCAGCTGGAGCTGTCCCATCATCAGGCAACCAGTCTTTATGGTCTTGCAGGCAAGGGTATGTTTAGAAAGAGTTAAGCTTCTGCTCAACTTAAAGTGAAACAAATTGAAAATTTCCAGGTTCTTTAACTATATATAATACAGTAATGTTTTTACAGTGAATATAGTGATTGGAAAAAATTTAGTTCACAGAATGGGACTATTTGGCCATAATCACACACATGTATCATTCACAGCCAAAGCACTCTGTCCATATCTTCAGATTCCCACATACTACTTAACCTTGACCTGTTTATACAAAGCTCCCCCAGGTTCTTGCATCTTAAAATCCTAACCCTAGGGCCGGCCAAGTGGCTCAGTTGGTTAAGAGCTCGCTCAAGAGTGCGAGCTCTAAGCAGCAGGGTTGCTGGTTCGATTCCCGACCTGAGCTGAGTTGCCGCTGAGCTGCCAACAGGTGGCAGGATGGCTCAGCTAAAAAAAAAAAGAAAAAAGAAAAAAAAAATCCTAACCCTATAAAGGCATCTTTTTCAGAACAAATGCCCTGACATTTTTTAATGTTAAGTTGCAAAAAATATGATCATTGAATATATCTGCTAGATGACTCCTTTCCCTTCCACCCACTGAAAGCCAGAAGTGTTTTTTTCTCTCAGTTTATGTTCTCAGCTGAATGTTAGGAAGAAAGTCAGATGGTGAATTCACACCTCAGAAGAATGTTTCTTCTCTGATAGGAGGAAAGGATTATTTCAACCCTTACGACTAGATAGAAGTCAAGGCAATGATAACCTGTTTTTTTGGATGGGTAGGGTGGCAATCTAGACTGCTAGACTCTTTTCCCATCATAGTTCTTTCCTTTATTCACCAGCTATCCAGGTTATAGGGTCAGAGAAAGCCTAATTTTGAGAGATCGTCGACCTTTCTTCCATAGCCAAGAGAGCTCTGCATTGTGGGTGTTGGGGGGCAATAGGTTAAGGTAACAGCACTCAGGCACATGATGTTTCCTTGGGAGATTCTGATAATAAAGCTCATGGATAAGTTCATTTATTAGGTTTCAGCCTGGGTTTTAGCAGTTGTCCCTCCTCTAAGAATTATCCTGGTAACATGAGGCTACTGAGAGACACAGCTCAGTTCTTTAAGTCACTGTTCTCATCTTTGGGCAGTCATAACCTGTCTCTGTCCATAGTACCTTCATTCAATGCTGATGAGGGTCTCTGGAATTCTTTTATTTCCCCATTAGCCTCTACTTGTTTTCCTTTGTCCATATATATAAAGCACAAGAAAATATTGCATGAATTTGTACAAGTGCCTTTACTTTTCTTCGTAATAACACAATTCTTCTTACATATCCCTGTAATCCTAACAGCAATTCTCCTTATCAGGCAGTGTGATCACATTTTTATAAAATTATTCTCTTTGAGCATGCATTGTTACTAAGTAAATTTGCTCTGTTTTTAGATAGTGTGTAAGGATTATTGCTTGTACAATAAATCTTAGTGTTAAGAGGGATGTTTAGATTTCTGATACCAAGGGAAAAGGATTTCTTTGCATAAGAACAGGACTGCTTAGCATTACCTCTTAAGTGGTAAAATTGTTTCTTGGTACTCCTTGAGCAGAATATGCTAACCCCTTGAAACTACCCCAAAGCAGAACAAAAGTATTCTTAGTGTTTCAGTCAAGGAAAATCGATAAATTCTTAGCTCTACAAGAGAACTACTTAAGTTTTGAAAAGTAGCTGTATAATCATGTACTACCTATAATTTTTCCTTTTTTAAAAAATACACATTGCTAATGTCTCACTTAGTCTGTAAGACTGGTATTTGGCTTTTCCAAATATGTGGTTCATAGACTCATGATACTTATTTTAACTGTGAAATTTATTTGTCAAGTAAGATATGAACTCCTTTGAAAAAAATCTAATGGAATTATCCATTATGCTAATGATTATCTTTTCAAATCTTGAGTATGTTTCCTGAGCTTTCTGTATTAATAATGTGTTCATTGCCTTTAGAGCATGAAGACTTTTTAACAGTTGCAGAGTCACTGAAGAAAGAATTCGACAGTCCAGAAACTGCTGACCTAAAGTTTCGAATTGATGGGAAATATATCCATGTCCATAAAGCTGTTTTGAAAATCAGGTATTTTTGCATGAGCTTTGGGATATCAAGAACCTTACTTTCTTTTTGCAATATCTGTTTCTTTGTTATTCCATAAAATGGAGCTGAAAAGAAATAGCCTTGGCAGTGGAGAGAGGTGGCATAATGTCATATCTTTGCAGATAGTATCAATCCATTCATTATTAAAAAGTTTTGCGTGCACGTGCACACGTGCCTTTTGGAAAAAGCATGATGTAGTAGTATAAGTATTTGTCTATATTGTTTGTAAATAAAGGATCTGGCAAATATTTATTTCCATCAAAAAACATAGTAAAAAATACAAAAGATTGTCAGGGAAAAGTGTATATATACCCCCATTGATTCTTAAAGATTCATTTTCCTCAAGCAGAAAGCTCTCATAGAAAGACATGCTGGACTTCTGGCCCGAGGGACATCTAATTCCCAATTAAAAAAATGTTCTTTCGCTATATGTCAGGAGTTCTTTGTGTAAATGTGAGGGAACTTTGTATTTATTAGTAACTCTTTGTACTGTTGCTCACTGAGGCTGCTATTACAGAGAAAGAGGCACATAAAATCAGACCGTTGAGAATTAAACTGGCCATATACAAGCCTTTCTGGAAATTCAGTTAAAAATCTATTTACAAAATAACATGTTTAAGGGAGCCGAAAAGCCATATGTCATTCATTACTTAAGGGAATAAGTATCTGCACCAAAGTATTAATTGAAAGATGAACTGGAAACGTTTCTATCTGTGATCCTGTGGACAACCAGTCTGTTCCTTCCATGTATAGTTTTCTGACCCATTTTACATATTATTCCTTGCTTAGACGCCCATTTCTTTTTACTTCTCAGATGAAGTAATTTCTTAGGTAAGTGGAGCCATTCTTTCAGTATTCTGAATGGGTTTTGAAAATATTTTGTGTTTATATTCTATCTCATTTTAAAAGGATTTGAAAAGATGATTTTTTTAAAAACTATAAAGTATGTTATACTTCAAGAAAATCTAATATTCAGAAATCAGTTCCTCATACAGGTGGATTTATACATGTTAATACAATACAAAAAGACCTGCTTAGGTTTTCTTGATACATGAGGATGTGACTATCCTAGTGAATGTGTTTTATAGATAAATTGGTAACAGGCTTGGGAGGAGAGGAAAGGGAGCAGAAAAAAAAATAGGAGAGATGGCCATGTTGAAGATGAGTCAGAAAAGAAGGAAAATTGTCATGTAATGTAATGGAACAATAAATGATCAGCTTAATCACAATCCAGTTAACATTTAAACAGGTTTCAAAATGCTGATTACATGAAACAAAAAACAAATGCATCATTTAAATGATGTTAATTTATAGTGGTAAGTTTGAACTCTCATTTTTGAATTTTCTTTAATTTCATTGTTTAAAATGCATTTCTGTACAACATCTTTTGAAAAAACAAGTGCTCAAAAAATCTGAATCTGAATGGGGACTGTCAGCTGGAACAGGATGCAGACATGCTAAGTACTCCATGGCTCTACATACAATTCTTAATATTTCATAGGAGGTACTCATCAAAAATGAAAGTGACTGTACACAAAAGGCAAATATCAAAATCCTTGAATGTGCAATGTTTTTAGGGTGCCAGCTAAAGATTCACGATCCTTATGTGTGCGGGTCCAAATATATAGTAGTTAAGGATACCTGTAATATTTGTTTGTCTGATTCCATCAGCTGAATTAGGTAACTTTTGCTGTACTGTTTTAGGTGTGAGCACTTTCGATCCATGTTCCAGTCTTATTGGAATGAGGACATGAAAGAAGTGATAGAAATAGACCAGTTTTCTTATCCAGTGTATCGTGCCTTCCTCCAGTACCTCTACACAGACACAGTTGACCTGCCACCTGAAGATGCTATAGGTACCTCAGTCACATTGGGACTAGCCAAGTCACTGGTCAGAAGTATATCTCCTCATCTTTTTGCAATATTGAATTATAAAGTTTCAGGTTTATTTCAGGCTTTTATATGGTTTTTAAAAAGTATTTGAAGCAAATATGTTAAAAAATATTGTATAGTTATGGTTAATAATTATGCACACAGTTTATTTATGACTGTGGACTTATTTTAACTTATTTAATACTGAAGTATGATTTGTTAATGGATTTAGCCTATCATTTTGGAAAGAAAATGAGGGGAGCAGTTCCATTTTTTCCATTCTTTTGTACCATACAAGAAACAGTACCAAGTGAGTATCGGAGAGATATGTTTGGGAGGTGGGAGTGGTAGGGAGTAACAAAGAGAACTTATTTAATAAAACTCAGAGTATTATTCACTAGGAAACTTCTGCTGATTTACCTACATAATTCTATGCACCAAAATGAAAAAAATATAGAGAAATTAGGGAAATTATCATAAACTTTATTAAACCTTCCACACTTTTTACTTTTAGGTCTTTTGGATTTGGCGACATCTTACTGTGAAAACAGACTGAAAAAACTCTGTCAGCACATTATCAAGCGAGGAATCACTGTAGAGAATGCCTTTTCATTATTCTCTGCTGCAGTCAGATATGATGCGGAGGTAACATAAAACCACAAACGAAAGTGTGCTCCTTTCCTTCCTTTTCTTGCATGAGACAAAGACCATCATGAGTAACATCTCCTTCTATTTAGGGAATGAGTGAACAGACTGATTCCTAAAATATGAAATCTGGCCCTGCTTCTTTATTCTCTGTTCATAGTTTCAAAAATGGTTTTTCCTCTGCTTTCATTATAAACTACAATAAGAGACTAATTGAGGTCCAAGCAGCTGTACTGCAGGTTGGAATATGAAGTGCACATCTAATTGGACTAACAAACAGCGTATTTTAGTTCAAGTATTTCTCAAGGTCAGCATATATGTTTTTTTTAAGACCCACTTTGCTGTCTCCTCAATTCTACCTTTTCATAAGCCAAGGGTGCCCATATGATTCATATCTGTGTATGCCCCGAAATTCTATCATTGTCTAATTGTAACACAGTTATTCATGTGCGAAGAACTTCCTTTGGACTCCTTTTTGTTTGTTTGTTTGTTTGTTTGTTTGTTTTTGCACTGGATTGAATTCTTAATCTGGGATTCATGATTCTTGAGAGAGTTTGTGAATGAAAGGGCTTTTGGGAGTCTGAAATTTTGTGTTTATGTGCATTCTCTTAAAGTTAAGAACCAAAGTGTCATCAGATTGTAAGCTCCTCATGAGCAGAAACTGTATCTTATTCATCTGTGTACCCTATAGTGCCTGGCATATAGGCTCTGGGTTTTAAATATTTGTTGAACCACCTAAAGGGAGCTTTAAAGATAATTAGTGAGCTAAAGGCTAGCATAGTTGGTTTTACAAACTCATAGGGAATAAAAGAGAGAGAGCAATAGCTTTGTCTTGGGTCGTCGGAAAAGTTGTGATGTATTTTTCTATGTTTTTCATTGCAAAAATGCGTCATGACTTTTCCGACAACCCAGTAGTTCAAGATGTCTAGCTAAATGGCACAGTTAATCTATTCTTACAAGTATTTTTTATTCTTTTATTTTTTGATTACAGTTGCCATAGAATATTATATTAGGTTCAGGTGTACAGCATAATGATTAGACAGTTATATAACTTACAGTTGATCACCCCAATACATCTAGTACCCATCTGACACCATACATAGTTATTACAGTATTATTGACTATATTCCCTGTGGTATATTTTACATCCCCATGACTATTTTGTAACTACCAGTTTGTATTTCTTAATCCCATCCCCCCCTTCACCCATCCTCTCAACCTACATCCCTTCTGGCAACCATCAAAATATTCTTGGTATCTATGAGTTTGTTCCTGTTTTGTTTGTTCCATTATTTTGATTTTTAGATTCTACGTATAAGTGAAATCATGGTATTTGCCTTTCTCTGTCTGTTTTATTTCATTATCATAATACCCTCTAGGTCCAACCATGTTGCAAATGTCAAGATTTCATTCTTTTTTTATGGCTGAATAATATTCCATTGCGTATATGTACCACCTACTCTTTGTCTACTCATCCATTGATGAACACCCAGGCTGCCTCCACATCTTGGCCATTGTAAACAACGCTGCAATGAACATATGAATGTACACATCCCCTCAAAGTAGCGTTTTGGGTTTCTTTGCATAAATACCCAGAAGTGGGGTTACTGGATCCTTCTTTGTCTCTTGTTATAGCCTTTGCTTTAAAATCTGTTTTGACTGGTATAAGTGCTGCTACCCCAGCTTTTTTTTTTTTTTTTTCCATTTTCATGAAATATCTGTTTCCATTGCTTTACTTTCAGTCTCTGTGTCTTTCGAACTGAAGTGAGTCTCTTGTAGGCAGCATATGTAAGGGTCTTGTTTTCTTATTCATTCAGCTACCCTATTTTTTTACTTAATTTTTATGTTGAAAGTAATTGTTGATAGATATGTAGTTATTGCCCTTTTATTATTTATATTTTTAATATTTTTCTTCTTCTTAAAGAAGTCCCTTTAAGGTTTCTTGTAATACTGGTTTGGTGGTGATGAACCTCTTTAGCTTTTTCTTGTCTGGGAAGCACTGTATCTGTCCTTCAATTCTTTTTTTTTTTTTTAAGGGCGCAGCTCACAGTGGCCCATATGGGGATTGAACTGGCAACCTTGGTGTTAGCACCATGCTTGAACCACCTTAGCTAACCGGCCACCCCACTGTCCTTCAATTCTAAGTGATAGCTTTTCTGGGTAGTGTGATCGTAGTTGTAGGTCCTTGCTTTTCATCACTTTGAATATTTAGTGCCAGTCCCTTCTGGCCTGCACAGTTTCTGTTGAGAAATCAGTTGACAGTCTTATGGGAGCTCCCTTGTAGGTAACTAACTGATTGTTTCTTACTGCTTTTATGATTCTCTCTTTGTCTTTAACCTTTGGCGGTTTAATTATGATGTGCCTTGGTGTGGACCTGTTTGGGTTCATTTTATTTAGGACTCTGTGCTTCCTGGGCTTGTATGTCTATTTCCTTCACCAGGTTAGGGAGGTTTCCCATCATTATTTCTTCAAATAGGTTTTCAATTCCTTGCTCTGTCTCTTCTCCTTCTGGTACCCCTATGTTGCAAGTTGGTATGCTTGATGTTGTCACAGAGGCCCCTAAATCATCCTCAGTTTTTTAATTTTTTTTTTCTGTTCTGATTGGGTGTTTTCTGCTTTCTTATTTTCCAAATTGTTGATTTGATCCTCTGCTACATCTAGTCTGCTGTTGATTCCCTCTAATGTGTTCTTCATTTCAGTTATTGTTTTCTTCATTTTTGACTGGCTCTTTTTTATGTTTTCTATCTCCATTTATATGTTTTCTATCTTTTCGTTGAAGTTCTCACTGAGATAATTGAGCATACTTATAACCAGTGTATTGAACTCTGCATCTGGTAGATCGCTTGTCTCTATTTGTTTAGTTCTTTTTCTGAAGCTTTGTTCTTTTATTTGGGACAGTTTCTTTGTCTCTCCATTTTGGCTGCCTCCCTGTTTTTGTTTCTATGTATTAGGTAGAGCTATTATATGTCCCGGTCTTAGTAAAGTGGCCTTACGTAGTAGGTGTTCTGTGGAATCCAGTGGCACAGTTTCCCTGGTCACCTAGCAGGGTGCTCCAGGTGTGTCCTTTGTGTGGGTTGTGTTTGCCCTCCTGTTGTAGTTGAGTCTTGATTGCTGTTGCCACGTCAGTGGGAGGGGTTGACCCTCAGGGTGATTGATTGTGAGTACTGGCCATAACTACAGTGGAGGAGCTATTGTGCAGGGGCTTACCCTATGGAACAGGATTCACTTTAGCAGGGCTCTGGTGCCTGCCCAGTTTGCCCTTTGGGTGTATCATTTGTAGAGGTTGTTGGTTGGTGCTCTGAGCCTGGCCACCAGGTGTGTTGGTTCTGGGACCTCTTGGGAGGGGCTCTGGTGCAGGCCAAAGTCATCCGCTGCCTGTATCCTGCCTGGGACTACTTGGTAGGAGCTACAAAGTGATCTGCAGATGTTTGCCACTTGTACTGAGCTTGGTGGTGCCTGGGAGAGGCAAAACTCTGAACCAAAGCTAGCCACCACTAGTGCCAGGCTTGTGGCTGCTTAGTAAGGGGTACGAGGCATGCTGAGGCTAGATGATGCTTGTTTAGGGTTTGTGAACCCTTGAGAGACTTAGGAAAGTCTGTAGCATTAGCTAAGATAGGCTGTTTGTATGGAAAAGCTTCTGGAAGTGGCCTGAGTGGGCCTGTAAGGTGGGTGGGGTGAGGTCTCAGGGAATCACCAAGGCAGACTTGTCGAGAGCCAGCTCGACAGCTGGGGCACCTGGATGATCAGGCCAGGAACCCACCGAATGGTCCCTGAGCAGGATTGATCAGCATGAGGAAATGAAAAACAAAAATAGGAAATGGCATAGACACCAAAGTTGGGATTAGGAGGTTCACTAACTGCTGATGGCAGAGAGTGACAGCATTTGTTAAAAGGCATATTGCTTATATAGAAGGCAAGTTCCTCTTTTACCAGGAGTAATTTCTTATCTAAGCATAGGGGATTTGGTAGGGGGTTTTTGGGGAATGTGGAACCAATGTTCCTGACGCAGGGGTTTGGAGGTGAGATAATCTCTTGGCAACAAGTTACATGATTACATAGCATAGACTAATGATATATTTTAAGTATGGTGAAACTGAGGCAAACAGCAACTGTCAGCAACTCCATGGTGGAAAGTTCCAAAGTTCATAAGTCCATGGTGGAAGGTTTTAAAGTTCATAAGTCCATAGACAGTGACATCTGAGGGTCTGGTGGTTGTGGTTTAGGAACTTGTTTTTCCATGGCACAGGAGATGAGCTAGGCGTTGTTGGGTTACTGTGTTAGCAGCTCCCCTTTTGCTGTTTAGCTAACGTGTAATTTTGCAGTCTTTTTCTCAGCACACAGAACATGGGGGTCTGTAGCCACCTGCCATTCTCTACCTGCAGTCAGTCTAGAGTTGCACCATTCTAAGATGGCTCCCAACACAGACGCATGGTGTTAGCTAGGTTGATGGAGACTCAGATATGGTAGCTGCCTGCATTTGCATGCTGGGATGGGGGAAGGGCTCAAGAGAGGAACAGTGCCTTCTGCCAGCACTTCTCTGTGGGAGAAAGCTGCCGCTCCAGCCCTCACCCTGCAGCCAGACAATTCAATTCCTCCCCATATGTCCCTGTTGCCTTTTGAGCTGCTTCCCCGGTGCTGGAGCTCAGAGTAAGAGAGTCTGTTTGCAAGTAAGTCTGTGTGTGGGCCCTTTAAGACAAACACCTGGGACTGCATCTGCCCTCTGTCTCACTCAACCACAATCTCCGCTGTTTATCAGAGTCAGAAGTCATGGGGACTTTTCTCCCTGGCACTAGAACCCTGGGCTGGGGAGCCTGATTTAGGGTTGGGGTCCCTTGCTCCACCGGGGGATACCTCCACAGCTGAGATATCCTTTCTGATTTTTAATGGTCACACGCGGATGTGGAACCAGCCCTTTCCATGTCTCTGCCCCTCCTACCAGTCTTGAGGTTGCTGCTTCTATATGTCTGCCGTTGTAGGGCTTCGGTTCAGTTAGACTTCAG